GAGGCGGGGTCGGAGAGGGTGGGGGCCACAGTCCTTTCAAACACCACAGTTCTGTTTTTTTCTGTTTTCCATATGAGGGTTCTACATTAGATTGCGGTGGGGCGAAGGTCTCTGAGGCCAAAACACATCTGGGGAAACCACTCACTCAGAAGACCTCTAAGTTTCTTTCCTTAGGGCCTGTGATTCTGAAGAACTTTCTGTTAGTCTGAAAACTCTTGTCTCCTCCCACAGATACAATTAGTCCTAGGCCTGGTTCACTTACAATTTTCTCTCTTTAAATCAATTTTCTATCCTTAATGGTCTCATGGTGACTTGGGTTTTTTTTTTCCTGAGCAGCACTGGGTATGAAACTTTATCTTGGTCTTCTTGAAAGTCTAAGTTAATGACGCCCACTGGTTTCCCCTTGTTCACGTGTTTCTCTCTAGTGACCTTTAGTAGATTAGCGAGGGAAGGAGTCTCACTGCTGAAACAGTGTCTTTCCTCCACCCTGTCGTGCCAGCTGACGCAGTCTTCACTCAATGCATACTTTATTATAGAATCATCCGCTTCTGCATAGGGAAGTGGGGCTCCCTGGTTCTGCGGTTTCTAGGGCAACTCCAGGTGCTGGTCTTATGGGTCCACATCTTGGGGGAGAAGGAGGGAACTTCAGAGCTTAGAGTCCCAGCTCTGACTATTCTTGGCTGAGTGACCCTTTTCAAGTCATTAACCTCTTTGAGCCTTGATTTCCTCCTCTGCAGGATGAGGACTCCAAAGTCTCAGAGAGTTGGTGTTAGACTCAAAGGTAGATTCTGGATGTGAAAGTGCTTCTCCAGCCACAAAATGCTACACTTGTTGCGTTAGGTTAAAGAGGACACGCTGCTGTTGTCATTGTCATTCCTTTTAAGACCAGAACTGACTCGTCCTTGTCAGGATAGATCCTTCTGGCAGCCTGGCCCCTCCTCTCTGTGGATTGAAGATGTGATCATGAGTGATGTCCCCAGTGCCAGGGTAGGATGAAGGTGAGGTAGCTAATCTCAGCTAAAGATGCCCCCTTCTTGTTGACATTACAGGTGAATGAGTGCCCCGCTCTGCCTGCGGTCAGGGAAGCAGTTTAGCCTGTCCTGCTCCATCTATGGAGTACATGGAACTGAGGGTCTGGATTTTGCATATTCTCTGAATCTTCCACAGTTTCTTGCAGTGCCTAGCACATATTAGATGCTCAGGGAATAAATGCTAAACGAATGAATGAACAAATTCATGCATATTACAGAGGAAGAAATTGAGATCGTAGGAAATGCCTAAAGCCTTGGTCAGCTCAACCACTCCAGCCCGCAAAGCCTAGCCAGCCCATGCAGGATCCTTGGTGACAGAAGATACTGCTGCCACCCCTGGAAAGGGGCCATCTCAATCTCTCATCCTCTTCCTGAAGTATTCCTCTCAGTTGCTATCCATGAGAATTTTCAGTTGCATGTGGATTATGCTAGGAAGCTAGAAGCTGCTCTGGGAGCAAGGAATAGGGGAGGAGTGTTGTGGTTTTGAGTCTGATTTCCAAATTTCTCTGTTGCAATCATGATAGTCCGAGTGGCAGGCTGGGAGGTGAATTTAAACACGTCGCAGGGGGATTGCTTCATTGGCTTGGCTCCGACTCTTCCTCTTCCCTAGCACTGGGTTTCCAGGCAGGCTCAGGCCTGTCCCTCCCTCACACCCAGCCCTGTCTGTGATGAAAACATCTTGGTAACACCTCTGATAGAATCTGGCATGTTTTCCGACTGAACTTGGTGACCCTTGTTTTCAGCGTCAGATAAATCAGAAGCTGGTTATAGGGGATTTGGTCTTCAATCATTTACCTACTATTTATTTATTCATTCATTCGCAAACACTTACCAAGTGCCTGTTCCATGCCAAGCCATGTGCTAGATTTAGGGCTAAAAGATGGAAAAGACATAGCTTCTGTCCTGAAGAATTGCCACAGTCTGGTGGCAACAGGTTTATAAAAAATGTCACAGATGAACACATTTCAGATTTGGGGGAGTTCACTGTCTTGGGGAATCATTGCTTGGGAACTTGAAGTGCTTTATTGAGGCTAATATTTTCATCTGAGCAAGAAGGAAGGCTGAGGGCAGAAGAAGCACCTAGGAAATCTGAGGCCTGGAGAGCATTTGTCTCCTGCTGTCCTGGGTTGGTTCTTGGGCTTTAGGAAGCTTGTCCTGAGTTCCTGAGCCCTGATCTCTCTCCTTACTCCCGATGCCCCTGGACTGGTCTTTCCTCATTTCCCACATCCAGCTCCTCAGATCTCTTAGGCTCTGTCACGGGGATAGGCTAGGGGTGAAAGGTATTTGCTGCAGGTGATTGCTGGGATCTCAGTGGCGCTGAAGGAAGGTTGAGCAGAGGAGCAGGGCCTGGGGGCCTGCGGGAGGCCTGGCTCCTCAACCCCTACTCCAAGTCAGCAGCCAGGCACAGAACTGCACCCCGAGGCCTGGAGGGAAGAGCCCAGGAAACGGAAGAGGGCCTGGGGGATTCTGCTGCTGCCTTCACAAGGGCTGTTTCCTCGGTCCGGAATGCCCTGCTCTCCCACTCAGTTCAGCCTCCGCCTTCTCTGCCTCCCAGCGAGGCCATGCCTGGCACAGATCTCTCAGCTCCCTGGGTATTGCACCGCAGCCAGCATCTCAGTTGTTAGTTAAATATGAGTATGTGTGATTATTTGATAACTGTCTACCCTTCCCCATCCTCCATCCTACTAGACTCTGAGCTCCACAAGAGCTGGATCCATGTTTGATTTCTCTCACCAGCGAGCAAGTCTCTAGTGCTGGCACGGGCAAGGCATGCTGCCCTTTGTGGAGAGAATGCACAGAGCTAGACGCCTGCTGCCCTGCCTGGTGGGGAAGGTGGCCCATGCCAAGTTCTGCAGGTGGCTCAGCCCAGCCCCACTGAGCTCCTGGGCATGGTAGGGACCTGAACCTGAGCTTGGCAGGGGGCCTGCATGACCACCCCATGGGGGCCACACCTCAGCTTGTCCCCTCTCCTAACCCTGTGCCCTTGGCTTCAGCCACAGCACACGACCCACTTGTCCCCACGCTGCCACTCATTTTTTGCTGTTCAATGCAGTTCCCTCTGTCTGGGATACCCTTCCTGCCTTCTCTGCTGGAGAGAGCTGGCTCATCCTTCAAGGTCCAACGCAAATACTTACTCTCCTGGGACAACTTCCCGACTACCCTATAGAGAATCTAATGCCTCCTCGGCTCCAGGGTAACTTGTAGTCACCTCTGGTGCTACACTTGTCACACTCTTCTTGAACACCTCCAGGGTGAGGCATTACTCACTGCCCCAATTTCCCCATTTAGTGGCTGGCCAATGGCAGGGGTGGATTAAATGGTGGCTGGCTGGATAGAGTTTCTTTGGGGTTGCAGAGACATCAGGTCCCCTATCCCAGGGAGGGAGGGACCCAGGTGGGCAGACAGAGAGAGTTGCCCTTCTTTGCCTATTTTGACCCCTAGGACTTTCCACTGCCCAAGTCTCAGTTTGTCACCTCAGAGCCCAGGATGGCATAACCAGGGCTGAGGGCCCCTGGACTCTGTGCCCATCTGAGGTGGACCCTGGACATGCTCCCAGAGCCCTGCTGCCAGCAGGCTGGCCTGCTGACTTGCCATGTTCCTGAGCCCCAGCCCAGCCCACCCAGACACTGTGGATCTGTCCCAGGCTGGCAAGGAGAGGAGCACCAGCAAGCTCCAGAGCAGCTAGAAGGGTCGGGATGAGCCTCAGGGGTCAACGCCCTGCCTGGCGGCTCATGCTGTGTTTGGGGCTTCCTGGTCAGTAATGACTCACGGCCAGGATGACCAGCTCCAGCCCTCACTGGGCATACCCAGTTGAATAGATTCCAGGGAGAACCATTGTTAAGAATCGGCACCATGAGGGACTCCAAGTCTTTGTCCCAGGGAGGGGCCTGTGGGTATGGGAGGAGGCAGGGAGGGGAAGGGAAAGGCAGGGCCGAGCATTGTCTCCCAGGCCTGGGAGCTACCGTTGTCCTGACCTCATTAGAGGGAAATAACAGGGTTATTAGGCACAGGTGGTTTAATGGCTAGCTCAGGGGCCAGGAGCTCCTTCGATCCTACTCCAGAGACTGGCCAAGGTGCCTCCTTGCCTCTGGGGTCTCAGGCCTGACCCCTCCACCACACTGTGCCCACCTGAACTCTCTCCCTCATGCAGCAATGCCCAGCTTCTTCCCTGGGTGGCAAAGGGTCAGTGTTGAATATACCACCCAGCTGTTGCTTCCTGGAGCAGATTCCCCTTTAGGCATAAATTCTCACATTTGCACAGGGCTTCAGGGTTTACAGAGCCTATGCACATACAGGAGCCCATTCAGTCTCTCCACTAACCCTGTGTGTGTGCCTGGAGTGTGTCGTGGATCATATTATTTCCATTTTACAGAGGGAGAAAATGAGTCTCAGAAAGATTAAAGCCTCAAGGCAGCTCAACTAATAAGGGAGCTGGCCTCTTAGACTTTTGATTCTATAGTTAGTACTCTTGTAATCTGCCTTGGAAACTGCTCCCCCAAGAGGCACCCCAGGTCTCCCCAGTGCCCCCCAGAAGCAGCTCCTAGCCAGGCAGGCTGCCACCACTTTTGTCCTCTTCTGGGATCCCCAAAGGATGGGCTTTTCTGCATACGAGCTGAGCTTCTGGAGTGCCTCCTTGGAAGGGGAAGTGGAAAGCTGGCATTTTGATCCTGGCTCAATTCCAGCCCCAAACAGGCAAGCCCCTTCTCCTTTCTGACCCTCAGCTACCCTGGTACTGGCTACCGCTGCTTTGGCTGGTCCAGGGATTGTTGGCAATGGGGAGAGAGAGGAAGGCAGGTGGATAGGAGATATGTAAGGTGCTGGGGTGTGGGGGTGATTCAGGTGTGACCCCTTTTTTAACCTGGAAGATGTTACAAAATTTTCAGCTGATAACCTCTCAGGCTGATTAAAGGCCCTTTATGGGGAGCCCCACCCTCCCCCAGTTTTGGGAGCAGTGGCCCCCACACTCACCATGCTGGCTCTGCAATCTTCCCTGCTGCCTGGAGCTGAGATCGGCAGCCCAAGTCAGGAGGAAGGCCTCCTGGAATGGGCCCTGACTGGCCAGAGGTTCAGAACTCCCTGGTGAACACTGGCCAGAGGAGGTCTAGGTGCAGGGCAGGCCTGGGTTCCTCACACCCAGCATCCCTGTCCTCTTAGCGAGCCGGCTGCCTTCCACCGCTGTATTCCAGGAGTGATTTGGGGACTGTGGGGCGGGTTGATTAAAACAGGCCTACAGGTGAAGTTGCCAGACTGGAATGATTATGTGTCTTGTAACCCAACACCTGTCTTAGGGGCTGGAACAACACCTGGAGTCATTCATGGGCCGTTTGGCCTCAGAACAGGTGACATACCTAAGATGTCACAAAAGCCTTGCTGCCTGAATGACTTCCACCCAACTGGGTGTTGGCTGAAGGTGATGTCAGAAGGCCCCTCCCTTTCTAGCTGCATGACTTCTCACTGTGTGGGTGCTTTTGTTCAGGCTTGTGGAAAGTTGGAGAAGTCTGGGGACTGGGATGACAGAATTTGCTGCTCAGTAGAATGGAATCGTTGCCACATATGGAGCAACAGGATTGGAAAATCCATGAAGGAGAGGGTTTCTCCCCTTAAGAAGATGAGATTAGCCCCCCTCTTCCTGGACCCCAGAAGTGAGGCTGCCCAGCCCAGGGCTGGTGTCCAGCGTACCAGCCAGCATCCCTTCCAAGTGCTTCCTGCCCCGGCCTCACAGGCTATTAAATATTTTGAAAATCACTGTTGGTGCTGTGGCTAGGACCCAGGTCTCTTCTTTCACAGTGTCACTTCTGATTCATGTCCTGCCACATTCTGACAGCTGGTGCTGTCTGGCCAGCGGAAGTGCAAGGTGAAACCTCAGAACCACAGACCATAGAGCTGGAAGGGACTCGGGTAACTGTCCATTTCCATCCCTCCATTCTGTGGGCGATGAAATTAAATTCCAGAGAGGCAAAGTCAGCTATCCAAGGTCACACAGTAAGTTAGTGTCTGATTCCAAACAAATTCAGATCTTCCCTTTCTCAACTCTGACTCTCCCAGGAGACCAGCGCAGGTTAGACATGCACATTGGCTCTTCCATTGATAACGTGTTTCTACGTGTCATCTCTTTAATTCTCACAACTCCACCATGATGAATGTTTTGTTCCTATTTGACAGTTGAGGAAACCATAGCTCATGGAGATGAAGTAGTTTTTGGTGGAGCTGGGGCTGGAACCTGGTTCTGCTACCACTGCCAGCCATGTGAACAGGCTGATGTGACACAGGTGTCTGACGGTCCCATGCACATGGTCTGGAAAGATATGGCCCATGGAAGAGCCCCATGATGTCTGAGCAGGAGGAGGAACACCAGGTGGATTTAACTGATTGTTGGCCAGATCTTGGCTGATCAATGCGGTGCAGCCTTGGGCTTGTTTCTGAGTAGCAGAGACCTGAGGCTGGCCTGGGGAGCCTCTTGAGCCAACACAGCCCCAGCCCTTCCCTACTCTAGGGTGGTGGCCTTTAGAGTTGGAAGTTTGGGGAAGAATCAAGAGCCTGGGATCTCAGAACAAGTGATTTCAGGGGACAGAGCTGTAAAGATCCCACGAGCACCTCCCTTTTAAGGAGAACTCCAGCAGCGGGGTGATGAGAGGCCCGGGGGCACCCCAGGCCAGGATTTCCACTGTCTTGGTTCATCTGCACACCAGGTTAAATATCTGGCCCACAGGTTTACATTTCCCCACCTGGTGCTCAGGTGATGAACCAGGAAAGATGTAGCTGCCTGGGCAAGAAGGCTGCTGGGTGTGGCTGGTTGGAAGGTTGTTACTCAGGCCTCCTGGCGCCCGCACCCAGTTGGGTCTGGGAGCCCGTGGAGGGGCCTGGGAAGGAGGCACGTGGGCAGGACCAGGAAGGGTCCCTATGATGCCCAGGGGGAGAAGGCTGCAAGGCCTACAGGTGGAGGTACAGCAGCCAGGAGAGAACAGAGGCCCACGTCTCCCAGATGCCAGGGCCGGAACACCCATCCTCCCAGAAGAAGCCCAAGCTTCCTCCCAGCTGTGTCCTGCCCGACTTCTTTCTTCTTTCTACCCATCTCTTTAGATTCTCCTATTTTTCCTCCCTCCTTGCCTTCCTTCACTCCCCTTTTATCTCTTCTTCTCTTTCTCCAACAATTTCCCCTTCCTCCTTCCTTTTCCTTTGCTGTTTCCAGCATGTATGTCAAGATCAGAGGCAGAGTTACCATGAAGCTCTTGAAGCTTGAGTCTCAGAGCTCCTCACTGGCACGGCCCCTTCCAAGGCTCTGGGAAAAGTCCCAGCAATATGTTCACACTGCCATATGTTTTTGTAAATTTGCAGTTTGGGGGTATACTTTTTCTTAAAGGGTCCCCTCAAAATGCCTAAGAATCAGGCCTTACAAAACCTGGATCCCCTGGGGTCAAGAGCATGAGAGCTCTAATAGCCTAGAGTCCTGTGTCCTAATCTCAATAACCACTAATTATTTGTGTGACTGTGAGTACTTTATTTAATCCTCCTGAGCTCTACCTTCCTTATCTGTAAGGTAGGAATAATAACAGTACTGACCTCATAAGGTTGTTATAAAGACTAAATGAGATAATCTCTGCAAAGTGTCTGGCACCTCATAAACGGAGCTTATCCCTTTTCATTTCACAAAATGTGTGCTAATACAGCTCATGCAAGAGCCAGCTCTTGTACTAGGCGCTGGGGATTAGGAGATAAAACACAGGGCCTGAACACACACACCTCATAGACTACTGGAGGAGACAGGACACATCTATAAATCATGATAAGTTTAAAAAGATGTTCTGGTAGAGATAAGAAGAAAACTCTGGGGGTTTCAAAGAACATTTTTTGTATTTCACTGTTGTAGTGGATTAAATTATGTCCCCTCAAAACTCATTGAAGCTTGAATTGTATCCCGCATGTTTTATGTATTAGAAACTTAGCCCCACTGTGACTGTTAAGAGGGTGGGAAATCCTATTATGGTAATTGAAAGGTGGAGCCTTGAAGAGGTGATTGGACTGTAGGACCCTGCAGTAGTGAATGGATTAAAAATGGTGATCAAGGGCGTGGTTCTGAGGGCTTTAAAAAAAGAGGAGAGTCTGTCTTTCTCTCTCTGCTCTCTCTGCTTCCACCATCTTGCAACATGAGACCCCTGGGTCACTGTCAGCATACCCCTGACCACCATTACCAGATGGACTTTGGACTTCCCAGCCTCAGAAACTGTAAGCAATAAATTTCATTTTTCTTTCTAATTACCCAGCTCCGTGTACTTTGTTATAAGCAACACAAAATGGACTAATACAACTGTCCTCTCTTCTCCATCTCTTCCTTCTTTCTTTCCTGCTGTTCCCCTGCCTTCATTTCCCCCCAGGATATTTTCACTTAGATATGTAATTTATAGGACAGTTGTTTCTCATTGTGCATTTGATCTTCCTATCAGCAGTTGCCCACCTACCCACCCATTGATATGGGCCTGCCCATCGTTCTATCCATCCATCCATCCATCCATCCATCCATCCATCCATCCATCCATCCATCCATCCATCCATCCGCCTAACAAATATTTTCTGTGGTGTCATCAGACAATGTGGTTAGATACTGTGGTTGGAGAAAATAAAATAGCCCCTGCCTTAAAGAGCTCAGTCTGCCCACGTACTGCACTTTCCCAATTAAAGCAGGTGCTCCTGAGGGCAGCAAGCCCACAGGTGTGTCCATAAATCAGCAGTGTCAACGTCACCTGGGAGCCTGTCAGAAACACAGAATTTCAGCACCGCCCCCCGCCCCAACCCTGCCCCAACTTAATCAGAAACTGCATTACAAGATTCCCAGGTGATTGGTATGCACCTTAAAATTTGAGAAATTTTGACTTAGAGCTCTTCCCACATTCAGGAGTGGGTAGAGGCTGTTATTTCTAGAGTGAGCTGAAATCAGAGATTGGAGCTTGACATAAATGAGCCTCTGGGGTTCCTTCTAGCCAGCAGAGTCTGTTTCTTCCCTCTGAACCCAAGTCACTGGGGATCAGTTTCAGTGAGACCCTCTTGTTTAAGCCTCTTCCAAGAAATTAGGTAGAGAGAGGTGCAGCGGGTGGGCATGAACTGGCAGTGGCCTGGATCACCCACGCCAAGCAGTTCTGCAAGGCAGTGTGCAGGGCATATGGTGCCTGTCCTGCAGGGGACAGCAATGGGCACTTGGCTCGCTGTGTGGGAGACGCAAGCATGACTTCCTGAAAGCGCTAACTTTCCAGAGAAGATTTTCACTGCTTAGCAACCCTTCCCCCAAGACATGGTTTAAGCCCAGAGCCTGTCAAATTGAGCCTCAAATATCTGCTCCAAAGAACGGGGGAAACTGAGAATCCCAGACCTGGATCTCAACCCTGATCCCCAGTTACCTCTGTTAGGTGAGAGCTGAGCTTCCTCTTGTGGCCCCTGCTGGGGTGAACAGGTGACATAAGGCTGGGAGCAGGGGTGGGAGGAAGACAGATGTGAACCTGACAGAATGACAAGGCACATTTGCTTTAAATAAGCCACAAACAGTAAAAAATAGCTAAGACATAATATGTGCTCCCTTGTGCCAGGCCCTTATGCCTGTGTAAAGAAGTCACATTGCTTCATCTAGTCCTTGCATCCACCCTATGGTGTGGGTGCTGCTGTTACAAAGGAGGAAACTGAGGCTCAGACACAGTTGGGATCCAGGTTGGTGTAACCTAGGATTCCCCGGCCTTTTCCACTATATGGTGCACGGTGGGCCTGGTATGGACTGTGGAGAGGGTCTCCAAAGGCCTCTGCAGTCCTCCAGGGACCTCGGAAAAGCCATTCAAGTCTCCATAGCACCAGAGCTCTGGGTGCACCTGTTTGGGTCCCAGTGGCAGTTTTCATGTTACCTGCATAATTTGATGGCAGTCTCAGTGAAAGACCTTTTCATTCAGGCTTCTCCCCATAAATGAGGTGAAGAATGAATTTCAGGTTTTTTCTGAGTCCAGCCCCTTTCTTTTCATCTGTCTCTCAAGGATACTCTTGATTTCATCCTAGGGCTGCCCAATGGTGAACAACACATAGTGGGGGCAAGGGGGCTGGGAGATACTGTTTTTTGTCTTGACCATACCACAAATATATAGGACTTTAACAATGCTTTTTTGAAGAATCTGGCTAAAAAGTAGATAGTATAGATTTACGTTATTACATTTATTTCCT